CACGGTTACGCCCAAATCCACGTGCCTGCCATCTTCTGTAGGCGCCATCTAGTCCCCGTCCCCCTCTCCTTACCTTCTTTTTTGTGTGACCCTTGTACACATTGACGGCCTCAGGGGACCTCTTCTGCTGGCGAGGAGGCTCTCCCTGTAAAAGGATGGCAGTGATGGCCTCGACGTGCGCGGGCTGCCTCTTCCTCGCGGTCCACCTCCAGGCGGTAGCACATCACACGAAGTGCGAGAAGCTGACCGGAGCCTTTCTTCAATTTCTGCCCCGCCCCCACGTCCCTGCTGTGACCGCACGCGTCGCTTGTGTGCACGCCACCAACCCCCAGCGCACGGCGATTACTGTCCGCTCCAGCAGATGATCTTCGACAGATTCAAGGCGCAGGAAGTCAGACTTATTCGTGGGGCTCCCGTGCCTGCATGTGCACCGCGCGCCTTTCTGCCTGGGGACCCTCGCTAACGTTCCTCGTGGTGTGGGTCTGCCGGGCTGCCACCCTCCGGTGTCGACTGTCTTACGAAGTCCTCACTCTGCCGCCACCTGTAGAGAGCCTCCCGCTGCGCACAGAAGGCCAGGCCGGCGGCTTTTCTTCGGTGACGTTAGGGCGCCAGCCCGCCGTCCCCCTGCTGGTGCGGCCCCCGGCTGGCAGCCCGCTGTCTTCCCTCTCCTTGCCCCTCTGTTCTCTTTTATCGGCTGCTTCTGGTTCTTATATTGATCATGTTTTTAAGCAATTAGGTTAGGACTCGGGTGTTTTTCACGTTCCCTGCGCGTGGGGTTCCTGGAGCTTCCCGGGCCTGTGGGCTCGTAGTTTTCGTCAAATTGGAAAATTTGGACATTTCTTAGCCCATTTCTTGGGCGGTTTTTCCCGCTGGCCCGTCAGCGGCTCCGAGTACACACGTCAGGCCACCTGCAGGTGTCCCACGACTCAGAGATGCTCCTTCGGTGTCGTAAGAGCCTGGCTGTGCTCCCTGTGCCCGTGTGCACAGACTGTGCTGCTGAAGCTCTTCTGCGGCGTGCAGCCGGCGGTCAGGCTGTCGATCCTGCCCGGCACGTTTCTCACGGCATGCTGCGGCTTCCCTCTGCGAGAGGCTCAGCCGGCCCTCTGAGGGCTTCGAGTTCCAGTGGAGCTTTTTATGCGGAGCAGATTTCTAGCAATGGTTTCCACGTCCTTCTCGGCTAGTTCTCTCACACCTGCGAGGGGTCAGGTGGGTGTCAGCGGGTCTTTCTCCTCATTGTGGATCACGGATCCCCGCTTCCTCACGCTCCTGGTCGTTTCGCTCAGTAGTAGAGGTGGGCGCAGACCCACATGGTGCACAGGTGATCTGGGGAGAGACCCTCCTGGGACTGGTTCCGCGGGGACAACAGGAAAGGCTTTCCTGTGCCACCTGTCCCCACAGCGTGTGCCGCCCCTCGGTCAAATGGCACCGGACCGTCGGCCCTGCTCCTCCTCCCAGACGCGGCTGAAGCGCTTCTGGCCTCCCCCCACCTGCCCCCCTCCCCCCCGTGATGGCCCATGGTGTGTGCTCAGCACATTCCTGTGGCCTAAGAAGAGGCCCTGAACTTGCCCCTCAGCTGGGGTCCGCCCTGCGTGGGCCACCCCACCCTTCACCCTCAGGAAGTGCCCTGTGTTCCGCGCAGACGTTCATCCTAGCGCGGCCATTCCTGACCCTCCCAGTGGCCACTCAACGACCCGGTGAGCTCTGCCACAGCACGAGAGCCCGTGGAGGCCGGCGGGGACCCAGTGTGACTTCTGGCCAGATGCAAACGAGGGAAGGTAAGGGAACCACCAACCCCCCCCCCCCCCCCCCCACAAAGCACATGGAACTGTCATCTCCGGGAAGCCATCCGAGTGATCATGAAAAGGAAGGTGGAGGTGAACGGCACTCAGACTCAGCTGGAAATATTTCAAAAGGTCTCTCAGTAGGATGACGGCCTTTGAATAAACAGGTGCCACGGGCTGGTTAAGAACGAGTTCACAGAAAGGTCCCTGGCGCCCGCGGGCAGGTACAGCGACACTGAAGGCCCGGACACTTCCAGCTGGCCGCAGCGCCATTAAACGTGTAAGTCCTTCAGCGCGGGCCCTGAGACTCCCTCGAGCAGGGGGGCGGGGGAGCTGTAGCAGGTGCGCTCACGGGGGGCCCCCCGCATCCAGCACATGCAGGAGACACGCAGGCCCCCCGAGACAGATGTGCCGGGAGGCGGTTTTTGGCGTGCAGAAGTACGATGACCACCCAGATCCCGCGAGAATGCAGTGGCGAGGTGCAGGCACGAGGGCTGTCCTTTTCACACACACAGCAAAGACTGGAGCAGAAACAGACGCTCCCAGGACTAAACGCACACACAGTCTGGTTCTAGGCACTGACAGGCAGCAGAGGTTCCGCGGGGACGAGAGCGCTGGTGGCCCAGCGGCAGGGAGGTGGGCCTGGGGGCGCCCTCTCCTGTCCCTCTCCTCCCACGGGCTGCGGGCCGAGCTGGGCGCCCTACGCACCCAGGAACCTCGACACGTGCTCTGCTCGGCCCAGGACCGGCTAACGGGATCAGTACATTTTCAGATGCGCCGTTGAGAAAACAGAGACGTTGAAGGACAAGGGGAGTTCCAGAACGACCTCCCTGGAAGAGCCCTTCTCTCCTCCTGTTCCCAGAGCACGGCTCTTGGTGAGACGTGAGCGGCAAAAGGGAACTGACCGAAAGGTACAGTTTCCTTGCCCACAACACCAGGCTTTCCGATCGGCCAGAGAGGGTTTCTGCGTACAGGACACCAGCCGGGCAGACGCGAGACTTACACCGTGATTCCTTCTATTCTAAAAGTTCCAGGTCACGGCTGTCATCTTCGTACCGCGCCGCTGGAAGCACAGAGGGGCGGGGGATGGGAAAGGAAAGCGGCTCGCTGGAGAAAATGAGGGAGGCAGGGCCCAAATTCAGATTTTTAACTCTTTAGTCCAGCAAAGTTTCGGCCAATCTTCCAGAGGAGTCATTGCTCGTCTGAAGTTAGTTCCACAGATAGGAAGGTAAATATTTTGTCAAAACCTCTAACGTTCTAGTCATCATCACGGAGCAGACAAGCAACGGAACATTCTGCGGATACAGCTATGCGCAGGGCACTGGGCCCAAGGAGGGTCAAGGCTGACCTGAGGTCAAGGTTAGCCTTGGGTGCAGTGAGCAGGAGGGAGGCTGTTTCCAGCACCGAGAGGACCATGGGGACCAGGAACACCGAGGTGAGTGGACCCTGCGTCTGGTCAACAACGTTCTGGTCGGTACCAGGGGAACCGGGGAAAGGACTGAGGCCGACAGACGGGGACTGAGCCACCCCCCAGGACTTGTCTGCGGCTGCTATGAGCAGCTGTGCAGAAAGGCCAGGAGAACCTCCCAGGCAACGGTCAGAACTGCAGGGCTCAGCAAGGCCGCTACACAGGCGAGCAAACAAAATCGTCAACCACGGAGTACAACGTCATCCAAGAGAGCGTCGCCCAGATGCACCTGTGCTGTCACGTGTTCCTGGGAATGCCTGGGACACCCGCGTCCTCCGGCAGCCATCACCCCTTGCTCGGGCCCCACGGCACAGCTCCGGCGGCCTCAAGGTGCGCGGGTAGCCTCGGCGCCCAGGTGAGGGAGGACTGGGTCCGGCAGCAGCCTGGAGCTGCAGGGGCTCGTTCACAGGACGGCGGAGGGTGTGGGGAGCAGGGAGCAGCATGCAGAGTGGAGGCGAGCCGGGGAAGGTCTGCTGGAACGCGGAGGCAGCGGTGGGGCCCTGGCCACCTACCAGGTGCGGCTGGGGTGGGGGCAGGCCGGTTGAGGCTCTGGTGCCCGGCAGGAGGGGTGACAAGGGAGAAGCCCACTCCCCTCCCCGCCCACCAAACCCCTCAAGCAAGCGACCACGTGATCACCGCGTTTCCTCCCCTCTCCACATCTACGGTTCTCTGAAGCTGAGTGCCGCGCACGGGGGCCTCTTCTGGGGGGTGTCCGCTCCCGGCCGGTGCTCACCCCCACTCTGGAACCCCTCTGTGTCCTGTGAGTCACGCCTCCCGCCTCGTCAATCCTGCTTTGCCTTCCTTCCGTGGCTCTTCCTCCTCCACACGCCCAGCCCCGGGGCTCACCGCACCCCTCAGGCACAGGTCCTCCCCACCTGGGGTCTCCCCAACCATCACCCCATCACACCCACTCTCCCAGCCCCTCCTCAGCTAACCTACAACCTCTACACCGAGGCCACGAGTTAAAAACCACAGCTTGGATCTTGTCCCATTGCGGACTCTTTACCGGTTCCTCTTGGCTGAAGAGTGGGGTGCCCTCCACTTAGAGGAGGCCCCGCATGTGCCTCCAGCCCCTCTAGGCCCTCACCCTCACGGTACAGCCCCTCAGACACGGGGCTTCCCCCCTGCAGCGGAGGGCTCTGACCCGCTGGACGGAGCCTGTCTCCAGTCTCCAGCATAGCCCGAAGGGTGGGGCTCCACAGAGTGGATGTGAGTCTGCGGCCCGGGAGGCCTGAGGACAGGGAGGGGCAGAGACTGGAGAGCAGAGCTGGAGGAGATGGTCCCCAAGGTCCCCAAGATCAGGGTGGGGAGGAAAAAGCACGGGTGGGACACAGCAGGTCTGGTGGGGGTCTGGGTGAGGCAGGGTAGAGTTTAAAGAAGGAAGCGGTCTGGGTCACTTCCTGCTGGAGGACTGCAGGGGGCGGGGAGGGGGCGGCCTGCGGCACGTGAGGGACACGAATGGCGTGGCTGCAGCCCAGGTGACCAGGACTGGGCCCCAAGGAGACGTACCTCCCTTATTGTGGAAGGGGGGTGCCAGCCGTGCCTGGAGAGGGAGGGAGGAGCTGGCCCTGAAGGCAGAGGCTTGGGTGAAGCAGGACAAGAAACGCGGGGTCATCGCAGGGGGACAGAGGACACGGCGTCACGGCGGGCAAACCAGCTGCGCTCAGCACCTCTGCAGCAGCAGCCGCCGCCCGGGCCGCCTGATGCACGGAGCCCGCCTCGCGCCTGCGGGGACAACGCGGACTACTCACACTGTCCACGGCCAGGATCTTGGCCCAGATGAAAACCAGGAGGGGCCGCAGCTCTCGGGCGGAGCTCTGCAGCAGCTTCAGCACGTAGGGGAAGATGCCCACAGACAAGGCCTGGGAGAGAGAAGAGAGAGTGAGCGCCAGCACCGGCTCCCGGGCAGCCGAGTGGCGCCGGGGGCAGATGGCGCGGCTCGGGACGGGGTGTGCGCAGCCTTTGGCGCGGTGGGAATGCCGTGGGGGTGGACGCGCCTCACGCAGAGCAAGCGGCTTCCTCTGGCCTCCTCACCCCCGCACTCCCAGATGCCGCGGGACTTCTCCCGTCCTGCCACGTCCAGAGACCAAGGCTCGCCTCACGAGGGACGGGTGGCTTCCCGTCTGGAACCCGCCGTCCCCACCCTCGGAGGGCCTTGTCTGCTCTCAGCAGCAAAGCGCAAGGCCCCTTAACAGTGGTTCTCGTGCTTCGAACCACAAGGCGTCTGCCGCCTTGGGATGGGCCAGTCTGCTGGTTAAGACGGGGAGCAGCCGCGGGGGCTCCTGTGCCCAGATCCGGATGGGGCATCATCCTGGGGGGTCGTCTCTGCTCTCGGCAGGGCAGCGACAGAGAAGCGGGCTATCTCGGCACAAAGGACACCTGGGCAGAGCCCGGTTTTGTCCATCACCTCAGCGTCTCCCTCCAAGACAGACGGAGGGGGACACCCAGGGCAGAGTCCGAGGACGGGGTCTGTGTCCTTTCCTCATTAAAGGCTGTGTGTACCACAAATTCGATAATTTCTAATTATCATGAATATTGCTTTTTCAGACTGTAATTCTAAACTGTTGTTTGCACACAGAACCAAGAAGGTCCATGTTTGCAGCTGGTGACAGGTCTCCTGAACCTCCTCTAAGTGGCAGGTCCCCTAACGATACCCCCTTCCTTCTGATGTAGTTGTTGAAAAACAAGTCGCTTTTTGATCTGATTTTTGTCAGTGTTTTCTGTTTTCAATGGCCGTTTCTACTCCTCTGCGGAATGAGAAATCAAAGAAGGGTTTCCAGATTGTGCTGGGCACCGGAGTGTGAAGTCGGTGGACGGGTGTGTGCGGGCACTCTGCGGGCTCCGGGGCACCTGCAGGGGCGAGCCACTCCCGAACGGGGGCGGGCCGGCCACACTTTCTGTCTGCAAAGGCGAAGCCCCGTGGCAGATGGGAGAAGATGGCAGAACAAAACCAAACCGCCAGAGGCTGTAGTGACGGAGGCCGCGAGGCAGCACGTGCGTGCACCTCTAGGGCCCCTCGGGGTGACCGCCCCCCCTCCCCTGCCCCCAATGGCTCCCAGCTTGTGAGACAGTCCTCGGACGCACCACGGAGTCTCCGGGGCTCCACCCTCCCCCGGCTCAGTGCGGGAAGCACGCACCAGGCTCACCGCCCAGGGGCCCAGGTCCAAGAAGCGCCCCAGCAGATCCAGGGCTCTCAGCCGGTGCACCTGACTCAACAGCACCTGAGAAAGGAAGAAGGAGAGGGCGTCACCGTGGAACCGTGCGATTGTAGACGCGGGGGTGCACTCACACCTGCCCCCGGCTGCATTCATTCATTTACCTACAGCAGGTGCTCCTTTCTCTGTATAAAATAGGGGCTCCGCAGAAAGTATTAGAACAAATACTTTTTAATTGCATGTAAAAACACACCGAGGACACTGTGGTGTATAAACCTCCAGACAGCGTTCCTTTAATTACTCTAAACTAGATAATCTATTATTGCGTTTCTCACCTCTTCTGTAAACTGAATAAAATACTGTGGCTTTGACTCCCCGTCGCTGGGCACGTCTGGCCGTACCATTCCCGGTGCCCGGTTCATTTAAACAACCTCCCCACTGCAACCTTTTTAAACTATTATCAGGTTTTTGCTATTACAAACAATGCTATGATAAATATCCCAACAGGCATATTTCCGCCCATTCACATGGTTTTTCCCGAGGATAAATCCGAGGGTAGGAGCAGTACGAGTTTACTACCGAATTACCTGCCAGTGAACTACCCTGAACTTCCAACAGTCCACGCATGGGTGCCCCCCACCGCCCCGTGGTCCCTCCCCGCCGTGGGTGCTCCCTCCCTCCCGTGGGCCTTTGCTGATCACAGTGCACAGGACGAGGGTTTGCTGCTGTGTTCTCTGGTGATGGGACCTTGGGCCAATCACTTCACTTCCCTGACCCTTAATTTCTTAATTTATAAAAAAGGAGAAACACAAAACCAAATCCCAAAGGTTTAATTAAACAACAAATTAAGAATTCCGGGACAACACAGCCCATGACCCACTATTATTTACCAATATGATAGATAAAAATAAAATATCCTTTTAATCTGAATTCGTTACAAGTGAAGTTGATTGTCTTTTTTTCACAGGTTAATCGTCTATTTCTGTAGTAAACTGGCCACGTGTGTCCTTGTTTTTCCCACTTAGATGTCTGCCTTTTTGTCTTATTGACATGGAAAAGTTCTTTATACGTTAAAAAGAACAATCTTTGCCACGTGTTTTTCTCTTGTTTTCTTTGTTACATCAGAGTTTAAAATTTCTAATGGGGTCATTTGTAGTGACTTCTCTTCATGGTATTTACGCTCAAGGCCGTGGGTACGGAGCCCCCGGAAGGCACTCTTCTGTCCACTGCCGGCCACCCAGCGCGTGTTCGTGGGCGCTTGCTGCGTGCGGATGCTGCGCTGGGGCGCGACTGGGGGCAGCAGGGAGCCCCCCTCCCACCATCAGTCGCTGCAGAGACAGGCAGACGGCCACGTTGTCACAATCCGCGGTGACGGCAGGCAGTGCTGTGAATCATGTGCGCCTCTGCCCTCCTTGGGAGGGTCCTGAAGGTCCCCCTTCCTAGCGGGCAGCCAGGTCCCAGAGGGGAGGCAGTGCGTGGGGCCCCCAGGTAGCAGGCAGAGGGGATGGGAAAGCTTGGGGTGTCTGAGGACGGGTCCCACAGGCCAGGCTGAGGGTTTCCCCAGAGAAGCAGTAGCCAGCGTCCAATGTGGTCGCTTGGGGATAGACCGGCGGTGGCCATTTGGAGCGGGGGACAGAGTGGACCTGACCCTGAGTGATGGGGGGGAAAGCGATCCAAGGCAGCAGGGGCCGTGCCCGTGGCGGAGGAGAGGCTGGGTGGAGGGGACCGGTGGTGTCGCCTGCTCCCGGAGGTCAGTGGCAGGAGCCGCGAGGACAACACGCTGGGTGCAGGGTGTGGATCGTGTCAGGTCGTGGGGGGGAGGCAGAGGGGAGTGGGACGCGACGGGGGGCAGAGGTTTCGGGGGCTCCCTGTGAGGGGCAAACACGGGCTGGAGGGACAGGTGGGGAGGGGTCTGGACAGCACCAGGTCCCCAGCAGGAGCGGCGGCCCGGGGGCGGGGCGGGCGAGGAGGAGGAGCCGGGGCTGGCCCAGCCCCCGGGATGCCGCGTGCCCCCTCCCCCTCCCCACCCCCCCGCACTGCATCCGGGCCATTCCCTCACCTCCGTCCCCAGGCACGTGTGGGCGTCTGGAGGTGTCGAGCCTCTGACAAGAGTCGGGGCGAAGGCGTGGGACCCGATTCCACGCTGGACTCGCGGCCACCACGTGTGCCTGAAGCGGGGGTCCGCAGGGCAAGGTCGGCGGGAAAGCGCGGGCCTGCCTTCCTTCCTGCGTCCTCGGCGGGAGCGGCGGAGGCGGCGACAGTCTGACCCCGGACTTGGGCGCATTTTCAAAACCCAGTGGCGCGAGGTCCGCGGAAGCACCTGGCCCGGGCCGTCCACCACGGGGCGCGTCCGGCACGCCGACCCCACGGCGTCGGCACGCAGTGCAGGACGTCCCCTCGGCGACTCGCCGGCTGCCCGCGTCGTACCGGAAACAGAGCCGCCTCAGGGGCCGGTTTCCCGCCCACCCCGGGTGCGCGAGCGCGGCCGCAGTCGGTCGGAGACCAGAGACCCCTCCGCGGACGCTGCGCGCCGCTCCCGTCACAGCAAACGCGGCAAACGCGAACGGAGCGCCGCGTTTCGGGCAGGCGGTGCAGCGATCTGCAGGGGAGGAAGCGGCCGCGAGGCTGGCTCCGGCTCCGCGTGCCCCGGCCGCCACCGGGTACGTTGCTCTCACGGCGGCGCCGGGCCCGGAGCCTCGTTCACAAGGACGACCGTGGCACCACCGCTTCCCGCCGCCGCGTCCACACTGGCGGGACGCGCGGCGCAGCCTCCGCAGACGGCCCCGCGAGCCTGGCGCGGGGCTCTGTGCTGTGATTATTAACGTCCGATTGGAAAAGGTCAAGTGTTGGCTTTTTAAAACATGACATCGTCGTTCGGATTCCTTCTGTTGATTCGTATTTAGGAAAAATGGAAGCCTAGCGGAAATGAAAGTTACTTTACAATAAGGACTGGCTTTTGGTTGTACACTTTTTTATTCCTATTATTCCCGTTTCAGACTGGCCCAGGATCTGTGGAAATTACAGGGACAGATGGCGAACGGCACGAGCGACCGGGTCTTGCGCGTCAGTGGCGGCGTGCACACCCGCATTAACGCGGGGCTTGCCGCGGCGGCCACGCTTCACCCGCCTCGTGCAGCCACGGCGCTCGGGCTCCTGGGCCGAGACTCCTGGTGGGGAGGGGCGGGGGTGCACTTCCTACAAAAACAGATTCTGCAGCTCGGGCCTGGCGGACCTCAGTGGGTCCCGCCGGCCTGGCGCCCAGGAACCTGATGCCCACCGACATAGGTAACACGTGTCACAGTAACACGCAGTTACTTTCCTGCGTGGACTGAGAGCAACCTTGCACTTTCAGACCAAAAATTCTGTTTATAAATAAAACGATGCAGCAAAAGCAAACAGTTTCCCGATGAAATGCCCGGACTGCCTCGCGAGGTCTGTGGAGGTCCTAACAGCGTCCTATGACATCCCCTCTTCTCTCTCCTTCCTGCAGCTCGTGGGTTCTCCCCTCTCGGTCTGGGGCTTCCTTGCACACCGGCCGCCCAAGGGGCCACGGACAGCGACGTCTCGTCCACCGCAAGACCGTGTGCACCTTGTGGCGGCTCGGGGTTTGAGGGACTTCCTTCCGATTCCTCCTGCTTACACTTCTAAAAGGCAAGAAAAGCCCCGGGGGCTGGTCAGGGAAGGTTATTGCCAAGCTCACCCTCGCAGGACGGGCTGCAAATCAGCTGGCCCGAGAAGACATTTCGTCTGACACCGAAGGTCATCCGCTGATGCCTCTGAGTCTTGAGGCACAGAAAATCCTCTCTGGCGTGCGGAGAAAGTGGCAGGGATCGGAAGAGCCACAAAGTCTGTATTAAAATTCTCTTTCCCTTAGGCAGTACTTTCTGACTTGCTGAGGCCCCAGAGGAAAACTTATGGGTGACAAGGTCCAGGCTTTGGCAAAAATACAGTTCCTTAAGATAAAGCAGCGTGAAGTTAACCAGGCTAACGAGAAAGAGGCTGACCCCGTGGGCCACGCCGAATGAAGCCGGGGCGCCTCTGCATCGTGTCCCCGTCCTTTCTCGTTAAGTACAGGTTCACGTACTGACCCGGGCTGGGCACAGCCCAGGAGACGGCCCTCCAGGATGATGGAGAGCCTGCTGCTTGTGGCTATTTGCAAGATCGCACGGAAAACGTCTCCCCACTTTCCCTTCAGTTATTTTCCCTTTCTTCGGCATTACGACGCTGGCTCTGTTAGGCCCTCTTTCCCCGAGGGAGTGTGGATTGTAAATGGAACATTAGGAAAAACGTCAATAGAAGGCCATTTACAGCAGGACTGTTTGCCAGACCCGGAAGACTTGATTTCGAACGCTTGTCACCACACCCGGGCTTTGCAAAGGATGAATTTCACTCCACTGCACCGTTGAAAACACTGGAAGGTCGGTGGTAGGGCCACAGGCTCCGCGAGTGAATGTTCCGGCAAGCCAGGAGGAGCTACAGAGCACAGCACGTCCGCCCTGCGCCACGGCCGTCCCCGCACGTCCTGTCCACTTACAGCCGGCCAGCGTGTGTGCTCCCTCAAGGGACGGCCCGCTGTGTTTCCTCCTTTTTACTGCTTTTCTTCAAACCCAGGACAGTCTTCAACTGATCTGGAGGCTAACAAGCTCTGCGGGCTATTCACGATGTCGGTCACTGTACACACGGCGCCCAGACACATCCCGGGAGTGGCCGCGGCGGCCGCTGCTCTGGGGCGAGGACAGGCCGTGGCGTTTCTACCACGTCTCCAGTGCCCTCGTCCCAAGTCCCTTGCGCTGTCTGAGGTCCCGCACACAGTCCCGAGCCAGGCGAAGCCTCGGTGCTGGGGCCGGCGGACGGTCCTCAAAGTCGGCTGTGTGACGGACCCAGAGGAAGCTGACCACCCCCCGCCCGCCGAAGGAGGGACGCCCGGCTCTGGTGGCGACACAGAGAAACCATCCGCCCGTTTCCCAAACGGCCCTGGGCAGCAGGAGCCGCTCGCGGGGGGGGCTCTGTCGTGACATGGTCGGCAGCCCGTGTAAGAAGGTGCCGGCCCTTCCGCGGGCCTGGCGTCCCTCGCACAGGCGGGTGACGAGGCCCCTGCTCCCACTTCACAGGAAGGTGCTGGTGGCAGCCAGCCGGCTCTCAGGACCTGAGACCCTGAACCGGGAGGCAGTGCGCCTGTGAGCACCCGCCCCTCTCCGCCCACGGCGTCTGCCGGGCCACCGCACCCTGACCGCAGAGCCTGTGTTCCAGGTCCTAAAGTGAGTTATTAGACCTCGGTGTCTACACTGACTAGAGGTCTACACACCTTTCCCGCAAATACACGTTAACTGACACAAAAGTTCTGGGAACATTTTCTCATCTTCCCCCCCCGTGAAGAATTTTGGTAACCTGCCATCCACCTCACCCGATCATATCAGCTAAAAAAATTAGCCCAATGAGACCCACGAGACCAAGCTTCCAAGCCACCGGCAGGGCGCGGTCTTCGCGCGAGCACTGACACGGGCCACGTGAGGGCCGGCACTCGACCGCCACCACGCACGCGCCCTCCACAGAAGGGAAGGCAGGGCTTCGGTTCCGGGCTGCCTGCCGCCCAGGCAGTCCCTGCAGTCGGCAGGCGCCTGGCGAGGAGCCGCGAGGGCCGTCTGCGATGCGCTCACGGCTCCCCTCCTGTCCCCCCGGTGGCTCGGAGCCCACATCCTTGCGAACAGAAGGGCCCGATGCCACGGGCACACACGCGGTGGCGTTCCGCGGGTGCCCGGAAGGGCGGCCGACTACGACCCAAGTGAGGGGCTTGGGGGGGGGGGGGAGAGGGAACTCTGGCGCCCCCAGGCGGGCTTCCCAACTGAGTGCGATGGGAGCCGGTGGCTTGCAGGGTCTGATCCCCCCGACCCCTGGGCACCCGGCCTGCGCGTGGCCACGGGGGCGTCACTCGCACGCACGCACGCACTCTGTCCTCTGCTGGCAGCGGTCTTCCCCCGAGCCCGCTCAGCCCGTCCGGAGGGTCCGGAGACACTCACCTGCAGAACGATGGGAAGTTGCTCGGGCGGGCTCCTGTTCTCCACGCCCATGGTGAGCCACACCTGGAACGCGGTCAGCTGCTCAGCAAAGAACGGACTGTGCTGTGGGACAGGCAGGGGCGTTAGTTAGGGACCTCGCCCTGACACCACGCGGCCCCCACGGCTGCCTGGGTCCGGCTGAGGGAGGGCAGGGCGCAGCCGGGGAGGCGGCAGGAGTGACGCGACGCAGCTGGCGGCCCGGCCTGCGCGAGCAGACCAGACGAGGGCGGGAGGAGAGGGTGTCCCCGGGCTGAGCTGGGAAGACTGCAAGGAGCGTGTCTGGGGACAACGTGGGGAATCCCGCCAGGACGAGTGGAGACGCCTACAGGACATGGAGTGGGGACATGGAGTGGGAACTGTGCTGCGCCTGCAGTTGGCGGGGGGGGGGGGGGGGGGGTGGGGCCCGGCGCGGGGGGGGCAAACAAAAAGGGAGGCGGGAAAGAGCGGGGCTGAGCCTGGAGGCCAAGGGGGGGGGCGCAGAAGGAGGAGGGGTGGTGGTGGGCGGGCAGGACGCAGCCTGGTTCCCCCGAGACGGGCTGAGCAGCGCCGAGTCCCCGGAGACCGAGGTGCAGCGGGCGGGGGCGCGGCAGAGTGCACTCAACACAGGCGGGAATTTGGAGACTCCAGTGTGGACGGCTCTGAGAAGGGATCTGGGTGCAAAGGGGAAGGACAGGAATGGAGGGGGTGGCGGGAGGGGAGTGGAGGGAGGCCACCCGGTGCAGAACTCTGGTTTCCCCGTGCGGGGGCGAGGGTGTATCTGGAAGCGGCTGGTGCCATGCGGGCAGGGAGGTGGGCTCTCGGGTGGGGCCGTGCACCGCCGGCAGCCCGGGTGGCCCTCCGGGAACGGGAGTCGGGGAGGCAGACGGGCCCGGATGCGGGGACGTGGGCGGACATTGCGGCACTTGCAGGGGACTCTCTATCACTTCTATTTCTCAGTGACACGGAGAGGGAGGACACAGCCGAGCAGAGCGGCACGGGAAGGAAATAACCAGAGTTGTGATTTACTCCAGGACCCTAGAGTGGGGGGCAGGGGGCAGAGAGTATGTGAGGCCACCCTGGGGTCAGTGGAGGACCCAGGCACCGAGGTCACAGTGATGGGGGGGGCGTGGAGTTGATCTGTCCTTCTTGGACTGGCAGAGGGGACGCCTTTCCCGGCAGTGACAGGGACCAGGCAGAGGACAGAAGGAGCAGCTCAGGGAGGAGGGAGGACCTGGCCGCTGGAAGGTCCGGGAACCGAGAAGCCAGGCTAGCGGGAAGGCTGGGTGTTTTGGTCTGACAGATCATTTTCACCTAACACACGGTTCTGCTTCCCCAAACCCTGAACCAAAAGAATCCCAAGTTACAAATCTCTGCCTCCCAACCCTGTCCTCCTGCCCAAGGGGAAGGTGGTGGCTGCGTTTCAGAGTGTCTGTGTGTAAGGAAGGGGGCCGGGAAGGTGGGACTGTGGCACGTGTAGACAGCGTGGACCCGCGTGTGTTTGCACGACTCAGGTCTGTAAGCCCCACCCCAGGCCTGCTCACCCCACACCGTCCACGGGGGAGCCTGGTGGGCAGAGCCACGGTGTCCCCTCAAAACAGTCCATCGCGTGGAAAGTGCGCGGAGAGCGAGCACCACCCAGGAGTCCGCGTTCCCGCAAAGTCGGCGTGGGCCAGGGGCACCAAATCTGGAGGGCAACCTGGGAGCTGGGATGGAGCCCCCAAACTGGCTTTCCTCTTTTCAAGTGTGAATTTTTCCTGAACTGGTTGAAAACAGTAACCTCTGTTAAGCTCTCCGTCCCCACGCGTGGGAGATCTTTGGTCTCATTCCATCTCTTTCCCCCTCCTTCTAAGTCCGGATTTGAACGAAGGATGCTCCCGTGTTGCTCACTGCCGGAGAAACCGTTCCACACCGCAAGGACAAGCATTCCACGTCTTTTCACCCAAAACTCACAGAAAGGGCAAGTCTCTGCCGCTGAGCTACGTGGCGAGGGCTGTCGTGCCCCTTATGGCGCGGGCAGCCCCCCAACACAAGCAGGCTCGGCCTTCCAAATAACGCGCCCCAAAGCGCCTCGAGAGCTGCCCCCGTGTGCACCTAAGGATGAGGGAGAGCAGGGATTCTGGGCCGGGTCTCCAAGATTACGGCTGTAGCATCAGAGCTGCTGTGCAGAGGCTCTGAGTCGCGTGTCCAGGCCTCCCAGGGCAATTCTGAGGCCAGGCGGGCTGCTCTGTGGTCAGCCCACGTGTCAGATGGCCCCGGGGCCTGAAAAGAGGCGCGAGCGGAAAAGGACAGAAAGCGGGAAGGCCAGATGGGCACAAAGAGCCCCCTGACCCCTGGGGGATTCAGGCACAGAGGAAGTGATCTCAACACACCTCCTCCTCCTCTTCTCGCTTACCATCCCTGGTCCAGACACGGCTACACTGCCTGGTGTCTGTCCTCAAGTGCAGTGACACTCACTACTCACGATGACCTCACCACTTACAAGAGGAGACAACAGAAAACTGCCCAGTGGCCAAGAGCGTTCAAATTCCATAGCCTGTCAGAGCTCAGCCTGCAGATGGGCTTTCTTCAAGTCCTTCAAGAAACTCCATGCTTCCCAGCGCGAGCAACCACTCCCCCCTTCTCCCGACATCGGGAAATGCCAAATCTGATCAGGCTCCTTTCCGTCGTTAATTAAAATCTGTCCTCCCAACCTCCTTGACCCATTGTCCTCCCAACCTCCTTGACCTTGGACAAGTGACCAACATGCTGGGCTCTGTTTTGGTATATTTGACAACGAGGTTTTAAAATAAGGCCAGGGGCGCCTGGGTGGCTCAGTGAGTTGAGCATCTGACTCTTGATTTCGGCTCAGGTCATGATCTCACGGTTTGTGAGTTCAAGCCCCGTGTCAGGATCTGTGCTGACAGCATGGGTCCTGCTTGGGATTCTCTCTCTCTCTCTCTCTCTCTCTCTCTCTCTCTCTCTCTCTCTTCCAATCTCTAAATAAACAAACATTTAAAAAATAAGAAAATAAAAAAAAATGAAGGCCAGTAATTTATAGGAAAATTATTAGAACAAAATAGTGAGTTTAGTAATGCTACTGCAAAAAATCTCTTATAAACAATGTATATACGAAGAAAGGGAAAACAGAAAATTTTAGAAAGACACTATTCGCAGTCATGACGACGGATGGGAAGACGCAACACTGTGGAGATACTGCCTGCCCTGTGTCCGTCTACAGATCCATGCAATCCCTATAAAAATTGCTTTCATAATCAAGGCTGCTCAGTACTGTGCAAGGACACAGTGGCCCGAAGGGCAGAGCTGAGAACCCAGGAGCAGCCCATGCAGACGGTCGCCTGGTTCGACGTGAATAACACTGGGTAAGCTCAACCTCCACGTGTGGGAAAGCGTATCTTGACCCCTATCTCACACCATCCGTACTAGTAAATCCCAGAGGGGCTGCGAGTCTAAGGGTAAAAGTAAAACGATCAGGCTTTCAGAAGAAAAAGAACACCTTCTCAAGGGTGTTCATCTCAAGTAAACATTTCTTAAACAGGATACCAAAGGTCTTTAAGCAAATGAGAAAAAAACTGATAAATTGGATGTTAAAAGAAGAAACTTCTGTTCTAGGAAAAAAAACATAAAAAAATGAAAATAAAGTCCACAGAGATAAAAAAAGAAAGAAAAAGAAAAAGATACTCACAATGGATTTGTATTCAGATTATATGCACAACCACTACAAATCGATAGGAAACAGATAACATAAAAGAAAAACCAAAAGACTTGATGAGGCAACTTACAAAGGAGGATATTCAAATGGCAAATGAAAATACAAACTAGTGCTCAACACTACGAACCATCAGAGAAATACAAGATAAAATCTCAGTGAAACACCTCTTCACACTGAACCACAATAGCCAAATAAAGGGAAAAGGGTAGAAAGTATCAAGCGTTTATGAGGATACAGGGCAACTGAAACTCTCATAAGCTGTGTAGAGGTGCAAGTTGATTCGATCACAGGAAAACCGCCTGGCAGCGTCTACTAAAACCGACCACACGTGTGCCTGGTAACCAGCAATTTCACTCCCAGTGTGCACCCCCGACACAAACGCGCCAAAGCCACATAAAAAATTAGCAGCACCCGCAAAACTTAAGGGGGCACCAGAAAATTCAGTAATTGAAATAAAAGAATACATTAATGCGAGATTTAAAAAGAATAGATGTGAAAATCCATAATGAACGAAACATCAAAATTTCAAGTAAAGACAGGCTCAGCATTGCTGATTTCTCCTTCCTGTCAGGCTCCGACGGCTCGGCCTGGCACTGGCCAGCACTATTCGTGGGGGGTGCTACCTGTAAACTCCAAATGCCTACCGGCCGGACGATGCGCACACGACCCTTGGAGCGTCCCCCATGGTGACAAGAGCCCCGACCGCGGGAGCAGATGTAACGTTGAGTGAAAGCAGGCACGACGGCGACATGCCGTAGGACCCCGCTGATCCAAGCACACAAAACCAGGCGGGATGGTGGCTGCGCTCGGGAAAGCAGACTGAAGGCAGCAGGAAGGGGCGTCTGGGGGGTTCTAACAGGTGGCCGCTCGATCTGGGTGCTGGTTACTGGAGTGTGTTCCTCTTATAAAAACTCCTCAAGCCGCACATTTGTGATGTGCAATTTTCTCTACGTACGTTCTGCTCCCGAAAAAGTGAAAACAAAATAAAAAACCTAGCGGGGGGTCTACGTCAGTTACCCCTCCCTATCACAATTTGGGGGAAATTATTCCCAGACGCAGAACGCGGATTCCAGCAGATTAGAAATGAAGCGCTGAGATCCACGCAAGTGTGCCTGGCAGTGGAGCGGAAGGGTAATCATGCAGAAGCTGTGTTGTTTTACATACGAGTAGAGAGTTCTGATCCCCTAAGGGTACAACGTAAAACCACACACGGTCTAGAAAGCCGGAACTGTAGGAGGTTTTCTAAACACGTGTTTGTGGCGACGGGCCCTCGTCTCCCTGGGCGAGCTGAGGCACTCGGGAGGGCCTCCAGCTGCAGTGGAGGGGGGGGGGGCCTGGGCTGTCCCCACGGAGTTCCGTGACTGCACGAGCCCGGTCCCTGCCTCAGTGTGGGTCCAGCGGGAAGGGGCCACGTGCACTGCGGAGAGCCGAGCGCAGGCCCTGCCAGCTCTCCCTTCAGGGTGGAAAACAAGGTGGCTTGCGATTTAACTTGTGAGAGCGTTAAGAACAGGCGGGCGGAGAGAGGGGTGGATGTGCTCAAGCAAGTGGCAAATGTTCACGGCAGGACGGTGGGCACACAGGTGCTCCCTGTACTACTCTTCCAACCTTGTGGAGGCTTGAACGTTTTCATACTAAAACGTGAAGGTTTTCAAGCACTAAAGAGGAGGAGATAGAAGATAAACAAGAGAGGAAGGCCTCTCAGCCCATCGCCCCCGCCACAGGGGCGTCAGACCATCTGAGGAATTACACCCCACAGAGACACGCGCCTGCACGGATCACACGCACCTACACAGATACGCACACACGTACACGCACGTGCACAGAGACGCACCTGCACCGATCGCGTGCGCACACACACGTGCACAGGGACACGGACACACAACGCAGCGACACAGATGAGCACATATGTACACACACACGCACCGACATCTGCCCCACACATGTACATACGCACCCAGATGTGGACACCTCCCACACCCACCTGCAGATACACTCAGTGCGCACATGTACATCTGTGCACACGGGTACATGAACACACACATACATGGACACACACCCACAGATATGCAGACACGTACACACACACACACACACCTGTCCACACAGGTATGCACTTATGTACACACACGTGCACACAAGCACACATGCATACACACACCCTACACACATACAAACACACACCACACCCCACGTGCACAAGCACACACCCCACACAGAAACACACACGTATACACACATGTATAGACAGGTAACCACAGATATACACACATGTGCACACACGTATAGAGACGCACATACCCAGGTATGCACAGTGAACACATGTACATACACACTCTCATGTACATGGACACACCTCACATAGATAACACACCCACCCACGTATACAACAGATATACACCCCACACAGATACGCACAAAGCACACGTGGACACACGTTGCACACAGACACGCACAAATGTACATGCACACACATCCCCACGTGTATGTAGGCATACCCCAGATACATACACATGCACACACGTGCACACAGATACATCCCCACACACACTTGCACAGACACACCAGAGAGACACACGTACATGTGCACATGTGCACATGGAGACCCACATACAGATACGTACAAACACACATGTAGATACACTCTACACACATACACATGTATACACATGTGCACACATACCTCACACACGCGCACACATACACACACACACCCCATGTAGATAAACATACACGTACCCCACACGTGCACTCACACGCTCCTACAGATATGCACACACATACATGTACCCCCACGAGTACTCGTACTCCACACAGATACGCACACCTATGTACACCCCCACCCCCACCCCGATCCACATGTGCACATACACACACACCCACGCTCAACCTGAGCACTCGGCCCGTGTGAACTCCTTCAGTCCTCCCGAGCCCCTTCAATGGATACCGCCCCGATTCTCCTGTAAAACGAAGAAACCGAGGCCCAGGGGAGCGGGCTTGCCCACCGGCGTCTTGGGTTGGGCCAGAGACGACAGTGTGGGTACAGAAGGCTAGGGGCTCTGACCACCTGGCCCCACCCCCCGACTCACCTGGGTCTCAGATGGCCTGGAGGCGCCCACTACCCCCTGCTGTCCGGCTCCTCCCAGACCCAAAAGTCTCCCCTACCTGTGGGGGTCAGAGGGCACACATGTGCTCCCCACACCCTCCGCCTGTTCCTAGCCGTGCTCTAACTCGACGGGTGTGACCCCCCACCCCTTTCTCAGGGTTGTCCAGGGAGGGGCCGGGTCTTCTGCAGGTGCACTCAGGCTTGCACAGTAAGCACTCGACAGACAGGTCCCAAATGAAGCCAAGGAGGCCGTGCAGCAGTGGGGGCGAGAAGGGCTGGTGGCGAGGGGCCGTGAGACCCTCCGTGTCAGGCCCCCGGGCGGCCTGGGGACCAGCTATCCCCTCAGGGCCGAACCTGACACCCTCCGAGGGTTCCAGTCAGGAGTCTCGGGAAACCAGAACCCATTCCAGGTAAAAGGTAGAGCGTGGAACACGGCTCGGGGAGTGCACGCTAAGGACAGCATTTTAAGAGAAGACGTTTCTGGAGAGCTTGCCGGCTCAAAATCCTTAACCCCCCGGCGGATGCGATCTTCCAAACTTTGCTGACTGCACGGTTTCCCAGGAGGGTGAACAAAGTCCAACAACCCAGTGCCCTGCGTGCCGCCCCAGTGGACCACACGGACGCCCATGTGGGACTCACCCGAAACGCCGTGCCTTCCTCAATGATGGTGGGCAGCTGAGAGAGGCAGATGTCGACGGCCAGGTCCCAGGCTTGCCTGCGGAGAGAGCAGAGGGGCGCCCACAGGGCCTTACTGACCGCTTCTCTGGGCGGGGCCCTGGCCACGGCCGGGCCACAGGAGAAGGAGGAAGGCATCTGGCTGCACACTGAAGCCGTCTTGTTAACGTGGTTTCTCTTTAAATTTAAATGAGAAAAGAGCTTGGGAGAGATAAAGGGACGGTCTCACTTTCTGCCACAGCTTCTCCCCTGACTTGGTGCCACAGCCTGTCCGCGGCCCTGAAGCAGCCGTGGCACCACGGTTTCCGGACCGTGGCGGTGTCGCACGCAAACGCCCCACGGTGCTTCATCAGAAACGGCCAGCGTGGGGCCAGGAGGCGGCTCTGTCTAGGCCCCCCGTCCTGAGCGGCCCCTCATCCCGCCCTGAATCAGGACTGGCCCCACACCGCCCGCTGCCTGGGCCTGTCCCCGAAGGAGCCACTCAGGATGAGGTGTCCCTGTCCTCGTTTGAGAGGACGGCAAGTCACTGATGTGTGGCCCTGGCCACCTCTCCACCGGTTTCGCACAGCATCGGGACCTAGCTCAAAACACACACAAGACGGCCAGAGTGCGCCCGACGGCCTGGCGAGTGTGGCTCCACCTCCCTGGCATCAGTTTTCCCGTCGTGCCTGCTCGGAGGGTCCTCGGGAGACCCTGGGAGGGCAGGTGCCTTCGCGGGGGCGCCGAGGAATGAGGGCCGCTCGTGGCATTCGGCGTTAGCTCTGAACTGACACAGACGATCACCTCACTTCCTCTATGGCCACAGATGGGAAGCGTGGATGCCGTGGACACAAGGTTCCTTCGTCCCTGCTCTCCCTTCCCTTTCCCGTGGAGACAAGGTGGGGCCAGCATGCGGATCTGGTTTCCAGCAAGGCCACCCCTTCTCCCAGGACACTTCCCGAGAGGCAGGATTCCACCTGCCGTTTATTAGACTCATGGCCCCACATGATCGTGGGGAACGGGGTACCGTTGCTCCACGTCCCCAGGGAGGACCAAATCAGGAACGAAAAATGTAAACAGCCAGAACACGGGAAACACGTAAGACAAACAACAGCCTGGAGGCTCTCTGTCATTATTCAAACACACGAAATATATTCCAGTTTTCCCAGACCGGCCCCCGCCAAACAAGCACACCCTTCCCCCACCAATCTAATTAAGAGGCAATCAGCACATAATCAAAAGTGCCTCAAAGAACAAGCAATAAATAGTTCCCATATGCTCAATAAGTGGCCAGGCTGCAGGCAGAACGGTTCTTCAGCGGCGTTGAGGGAGAGATTTACTCTTTGTTAGACAGAAACAAAGTCAATTACTGCAATTCCGTGCTATAAAAATTCCTTGAATTTAACCTAATAAAAACTTTGAACTTGAGGAGTTGCGAGCGTGTGCAAGCTGGGGGCAGGTAAAGGTGTGGGTCTAGGGCGGCTGGAACCACGCTTGCGTGGAGCAGGCGACACGCCCTTCTCAGCCCCTCTCACCAAGATCACGGGGCAAGGACAGGCCTCCCGTGAAAACGCCGCCACAGCTGTCCTCAGTCCTGGCGGGGGTGTCCTGGATTATCAGCGGAACCAGGCCACACTGGGACAGGCCACCCTGCGGTCTCGTGGCTGGCACCCACTGGGTCCCTCCAAAGAGTGAAAGCCTCACGGAGCTGCACCGGGGCCAGAGGGCGACAGTCCTTCTGAGAGCCACGTGGTCACTGGCTGGCCAGGCGGCTCCCGAGTGTCGGCCCCTCCCTCGGGGACTGGGTCCTCAAGCAGCCCCAGAATGTGCTTTCATGTGTGCACAGGGGCGGGGGCGGGGGGGGGGGGGCGCTGTGGACATGACAGGGGGCCCTGGAGCAGGGGAGCCCCGGAGCTCCTGGGAGTGAGGAAGGGAGGCTGCTCAGGGCCGTGGACAGAGGGGCACGGCCGTCGGGTGGACAGAGGAAAGGGGCTGGCCCACGGCGTTGAAGACGGTGGCATGTGTGCAGCTGCGGCAGGCCCGGTGACCCTCTCCAGGCCTCTGGCTGCTGGTGCTTGCAAGGGGAAAGGGTCGGCTCGGGGACCTGAGCTCCCACGAAAGCCCGGCAGCTCGAGAGTGGCGCTCTCTCCGGAGCATCTCACCGGTTGGTTGAAACCGGCTGCATTTTCTAGGCTAAGATCAAAATGAACTTGGCGTCTTAATTTGGATTCTCGCTCGGGGAGAGTGGGACTGTGAGTCCTGGGAAGTCTGAGGCCGTGGCGAGGGGCCAACCCGGGAGGTGTCTGCGTTCGCACTTCCCACGGCCCGCGAAGCGGCCATACTGCGGCGGGAGGGGGCGCCGCGACAGCCTGGCCAGCCGAGCGGATCCCCGCGGCGTGGGGCAGAGGCAGCTCGATGAGTCACTGCCCGGGGAAAACGTGCCGTGCCGGCAGGAGCTCGGGCTTTCAGGAAACGGGCCTGTGATGGCAGACGCCCAGGGAGTGGGCCGGGAGGGGAGCCTTCCAAGAGCGCGCGGCCTCCATCTGTAGCGACCGCGCAGCGGGCGAGGCGCCCTCGACGGAGACGGAAGGCACAGGTTACTACCGTGGAGAGAGGCGAGGTTTCACGGCCTGCAGAAATCGAAAGTGAAGGAGAACGAGCCCCTGGCGGCTTCACATCAGAGATTAAACAGGAGCCGAGCCGAGCGCCCCTCCCGAAGCCAAGTGCAAGTGCAGACTGCGTTGTGTTTTAACCCCGCTTTCTGTGGGGCTTTGTTCCCTCCCTCCACTGCTCAAAATTCAACCTCCCCATCACCACCCAAGCACTGTAGTAACTAGACGGCACATCATTTATTCCAGACGCTCTTTCGGAAGCCGCGGCTGGCTGTGTGCTCCCTGGGGATGCAGCAGCTCCGGTCTGTTTCTGAGGAGGGACGGAAAGAGCCAGGGGCGTTGTTCTGACGCGCCCGTCACCGAACCAGCTCCGCCGCAAGCCCACGCCAGCACGGAGCACCCAGGCAACGCGGCAGAACTGAGCCCAGCGCAGCGCGACCACCTTGGCGTCCGGGCCTCACTCACGTCCTCCCCGCTGTGCGCCCGACACCACAGCCTGGTCCCTCACGGCTGCTCTCCCGCACGGAGGGGGTGTGAGCAGCACGCCGGCCACCCGGGACCTGCCGCGTTCCCCGCCCCCCCCCCCCCCCGGATGAGGCGCATGAGACACAGGAACGAGAGCACGAACGAGCTGGGCCCCCGGGGCTGGCCACTGCGGGGCGGCGGGAAGCGTGGGTCCCCGCGGCTGACGCTTAGGCCACATGGAACGAGCGACAGACTCTCCTTCGCGAAGCCAGCAGACCCTGCGTTGCCAACTACCCTGTATTTCCACCGCTGCTTCTAACCACCCCCAGGGGAGGAGGCCTCCCACTGCAGCCGGGTCGGTCCGCCCGCAGGGGCCTGACCTGGTATTGACACCCAGTGTTTCTGACCTCTGACTTAGAAACAACTCTGAACGATTTTATAAAGAAATAAAGACCCCCCCCACTGTCTCCAGGTGGTCCCTTCCTCCCCAGATCTACAACACGGTAGCCGGGCCAACCCGGCCAACCCTACAGCTGCAGCCCTGTGTCACTCTGGGAAGCACGGCTGACCCTCTGCGAGCATCTCCTTAGAAACCACCTTAGCAAAGGCAGGAGCCGGAGCCAAAGCCGGGGTGGGGCCCAGGAAAACGCAAGTGCAAATGAGCATTTCCCTAAAGCCCGGGAGAGAGTGGAAACCTACAAGCATCACCTTCACACTCTCTTCCCGCCTTGACACTATTTGTTTAGGTGTGCGGGACCAAGACTTTGTCACTGTGGACACTCCCCTAGGAAGCACAGACCGTCCGTGTGGGTCTTCTAGACGCCCCTGGGTGTGAACAGGAAGCAAGGCTCATCCAAGGCGGCCCCGCAGGCCAGCAGCAGCTGGAGGGAAGCCAGTCCACGCAAGGGGACTGGGACTTAGGTCACTTTTGACGAGGAACTTGGGAACAGCATTTAAAAAACCGTGATCACGGGGCACCTGGGTGGCTCAGTCAGTTAAGTGGCCAACTTCGGCTCAGGTCATGACCACATGGTTTTGGGAGTTCGAGCCCCATGTTGGGCTCTGTGCTGACAGTGCAGGGCCTGCTTGGGACTCTCTCTCCCTCTCTCTCTGCCCCCTGCCCTGCTCACGCACATGGCACGCGCTCTAACTAAATAAACTTAAAACACATTGTGGCCACTCCTAATTTGGGTGTGCGTGGGGGGTGTATTTACCACTAAACGAGTCCCCTTGAATCTTCTGTGTGCTCAGTGAACTCTCGCACTGGCCGGAAACGCCCGTGTCTCCATGTGCTGTGGTGGCCATTGCTGCTTGAGTATGTTTCTACGAGCATTTTCTACTTGAGATCTAAAGGCTGCTTTCACATCCAAGTCCTGATCAAAGTAGGTTAATGGCATAATTTTCAACATTTAATGGGATTGACTAATGTTTACTCTTTGGCTATACCTCATGCCGGCACCGTCATTAGGAAAACCCTATCTGGAGGAAACGTGTGCTGTACGCATATGATTTCCTCCCTGGAAATCGCATCACCGCTGATTCCTGCAAGAGAACCCTGTAGATTCACTTGCGTGGCCTTTCTCAGCATATAAAGATAGAAGGCCATGATATCAAGCCTTTCCAAAAAAGATCCCAATTGGAGAGGACCTTCGAGGCCAACAGTGAAGCAGGGTGGGCTCACGAAAGGAGAGCCCGGGCCACCACCGATGCCTCCCCACCTGCATGGCTACCAGGCTTCAGGGGCCCCGGGGGCACCAAGGTGCAGAACCCCCTGCTTCCACTCCCCGGGGCACCCGTGGTCCCGGACTCATGCAGAGTCCCCAGCAGGCTGCATCTAGCCCCCTATTGGTTGCGTTTGGCCCTCAGAAAGTTTTTTTAAAAATACCGTATTGGTGGGGCTCCTGGGTGGCTCGGTCGGTTGAGCGCCTGACTTCGGCTCAGGTCATGATCTCACAGTTTGTGGGTTCGAGCCCCACGTCAGGCTCTGTGCTGACAGCTCAGAGCCTGGAGGCTGCTTCGGATTCTGTGTCCCCCTCTCTTTGCCCCTCCCCACTCTGTCTCTCAGAAAGAAACATTAAAAAAAAAAATACTACGTTGGCTATCAACATTTTAAAATAAGAAAATTGGAAATGAAAATATGAATTTATGACTACTCTTAAAAATTTACCGTGGGCCCAAACTGCCCCCTGGAGCTGAGTGTCAACGATGCAGGCTTGCGGTCAACACCTGGCCCTCTGCCCCTCGCCCCACACTGCTCCCTCTTGGATGCTCCCACAGGACCGGCGGACATGGGGGCAGACAAGGTACAAAGAGACTCCTGCCAACTGAAGCCCTCCCAGGCCCACCACCTCTAAATTCTGCCCAAACGGAGAACGCGCTTTTGGGAGTTGGGCCATATGACACCCGCTGCACGTTTTCTGAAAAGCCGCCCTTTTACGGTCCACGACCCTGACAGTGGTCTCCTCCCGTAACAGCAGCTGGCACAGCACCGGGACCCCAAGCGGTCCGAACGCAGGCCCGGCCAGGCCAGCGTCTGTACGTGCTGATGACGCGAGGGGCCCTGGTGCGAGGGCCTGGCGTGAAGCCGGGAAGGCTGGGCCCGTTTCTCTACCTGGCCCCTTTGGGTGGCTCACCCACGACCCCTACAACCTGTCCTGCCCCTATGCATAGCTCTGGGCACATCCCCGGACAGCTGTGCCTGCGCTGCGGCATCCTGGCCCGCCACGTTCACTCACGGATGAGCACGGGGCCTTGGAGCCCAGGTCCGGCTCCAGCACATGAAGCTGCTTCCCACGGAGCCCCAGCTGCAAAGATTGGATCCCACGTACAGGGAGCAAGGGAGGGCAGCAGGCCGGATGGCGCTCCACGCAATGGGGGCCGCGAAGGCCGAGACCGGACGAGACCCCACGTCCAGGGTACGTTCCAGCCGCAGAGGGGCCCTGACGTGCTCAGGGAGGCCAGGCCAGGGGAGGGGGACGGCCCGGGGGCACACATACGGCCGCTAGCCACTCTGCCTGCCTCGGATCCTGTGAGGCTCTCCCCGCGTTCCCCTGGGCCCCCGTGGACCTCTGTATGGTTCGTGTTTCTGGGACAAACGCAGATGTGCTTTATGAGATTCGGGGGTGCTGACCGTGCGGAAGAGAGGGCCACATTCCTAGCCTTTGGCGCTGGCAAGAAAGCCATCCTTAATGGTGACGGCGGGATCACGCGGGGCTGCCGTCACGTCTGGGCTTTGGACCTTATCTTAAGCCGTTCTTACAAACTCAGAAACGTTCTAGGAGGCCAATCCTGGGAAAGCAGCCCGGGAGGACAAGAGGAGGGGGGCGTTTGCACCTGCTTCCTTCCCCGGGTGCCCGGCTCTGCCTGGCTTTGCCATCTTCTCCGCGCAGCCCGTGGCCTTCCCCCCACGCGGCTGAGCCAGCTCACGGGAGGCATTTCTACAGCCAGAGAGGTGCGCGTTCACTGGAAAATGCACTCGAGGAGCGTGCTGGGGTGTCGGGAGGACGCGGGCCGCCTCTCTCTGACAGGCGGTGCCCCGCACCCCGGGGAGCCTGCTCGGCCAGCGGCGCCGGCGGCCCGGGAGGCCCTCCGCTCCGCGCAGCTGGTGTGACGCCCGTTCCCTGTGGCTTCACCAGTTTTCCTGCCAAGACCAGCCGTGGCACTGACCTCATGCAGCCTTTCCACCATTTTCTTCCCTTTTTTATAATACGTGTTTTATAAAAACCTGGTTCGGGAGAAATAGGACTTAGGACATCACTTTTCTTCCTAGGCAGTTTTGAGGAGCCACTCTTCCAGACACATCCATCTTCACTCTAATTATTCACTCTGAGTACCATAAAGGCCTTCAAACACCCTCCCAGTTGCAGCGTGGCGAGGCCACTCTGCACACGTGACCCGCCTGCCACATGGGGACTGTGGTGGCCCCGCCGCCTGGGGTCCCCACGGCAACATTCTGTTTTACCCTGTAAATACCGGACGCGGGTATGGACACGCACAGAATCGTTTAGCAGCCAACACGGCGCGTCCCCGTTTCCCTCACAGAGGAGAATCTTACTTCCTGATTTCCCGAGTGGATGAGGGCAGTACGTCTACGAACCCATCCCTGGCTCTCCACGTTTTCAGCACCACGGGAAAGTGGTCATGCATGTATTTAAAAAAATTAATCGCCAGCTGGAATAAACCTGACCACGGAGATACACCTTGAGTGAATGGCTGTTTTTAACTATCTGTATTAGAGTTTCTCCCACGGACAGACACCTTTGCTATCGCCCCGTTTTAGCACTGCCTCAAATTCCGCTTGTGTTACAGAAGCAAGGGGACGGGAAGAAACCAAATGCCATCATTGGGAGGCCCGAGTAGAAGACACGTCACACGAGTACCGTTGTTACTCCTGTTACTGGCAGTGTAAGTAGCAACCGTCCGATGTGGGGGGAAACTATAAGCGAGAGTCATAGGAATCTCACTCGTGTGCGGTGTGAGCACGTACGTGTGTGTGCGACCGTGTATGTGTGTCTGGACACACACACGTGCGGGTGCTTGTGTGAAGTAACCATACAATTAATTGCTCGCGAATCCAACAGCTTTAATCCGATGGAACAGTGTGGGACACACTTCCTAAGCCCAGCTGGCATTTTCTTTTCTCGATACCGGTCTCTGCGGAGTCAGAAGCCTGTGTGCGGGCCTCTCCTGCCCCGAGTGGCTGGATCGTAAGGCCCCTGGAGCCGCCGGTCCCGCTCAGTCGTGAGAGACACCCCAAGGCGCCTGCACCTCTGAACTCTGAGGGGACCCACGTGTCCTGTGCGCGGGGAGCTTTAGGCAGGACTTTGCCAGCTGTTAGCACCGCCTGGGTCTCCGAGCTTGGTGGCAAGTCTTCCTATTTTGTCTCACGTGATTCCATTAAACTTGTCCCACGGCAGAAATGGACAGAAACCAAGCCACTGAGAGAACGTCACACTGTCTGGCCCTGTCGGCCGGGGACACTTACCACATCGCGTGCATGTACGTGGGGGGCAGGCGTGGGCTGCTGACGGGAGTGCAGTTGTAGGACCTCATGATCCTTTCTGCCAGTAGAAAATTTCGAAACAGACTCGCCACCAACAGGTCCTGTCTGAAGAGTTTTTGGAAGAGATCTGGGGGCAGATAAAACATACAAAGGTACCTCTGGTGACTCACGTCCAGCACTGAAAGCCAAAAACACAGATTTACTTCTAGAAGAATATTTTACAAGCAAGCTGGGACTCATACGCACATTTCCTGTTGGCAATATGCACACACAGATATACTCACACAGATGCAAACGCCAAACCCTAGAGGGTCAGTACAGAACACTTCTGGTTTTAAGAACCAGAACACTTATCAGAACACTTCTGGTTTTAGGAAATACGGGCCGTGCCAATTTTTACGAAGAAAGGTGAGCCCTGAGTCTGCCTAGAAGGTAGCATGATAACGTCGGAGCGAGCACTCACGTGGAGCTCGCTGTCCGCCACAGGTCTTGGTGCCTGATGCGCCGTGGCTCACGGAAACCCCCAGAGGCTCTCCCTGCCCCCCTCGCCCCCCAGCTTTCCTCCCCAACAAGATCTCGCTGCTTCTGCCTCGCTTCCCTTGTTCCATGGGCCAGTGTCTCCCACCGGGCGGCTGCCCTGCCCGGCCCCACGCGGCCCGGCCCGGCCGCCTCCCTGCCCTGCCCCACGCCGCCTCACCCCGAGGCAGCACGTTCCAGGCGATGGTGTCTGTGATGGCTGTGAAGATCCAGTTCAGCTCCCCCAGAGGGGTCCTCCGGTCATTCAGCCGGCCGGGGATCCTAGGAGACACGGGGTGCTTGCATTAATGACTACCCAGAGAGTCCTGGCTCCCGAAGAGGGGCGCGGGGAGGAGATGTGGGGAGAAGGCGGGAGGCGCCACACTGCAGGCAGAGGCGGGGGAGGCCGGCCCTGCCTGTGACGCGGAGACCCGCGCACTCCGGCCTCCGTCTTCACTGTCCTCCCCTCCACGGCCACACAAAGCAGCCCCTTGGGGTCCCCCGACGCGTGGGCCGGACCCAGCGGCTACGCACACCAGTCTCGTGGTTTCCTTGGCCGATCTCCTGCCTCCACAGGGCAGCCTGGGCATCTGCTATGGGGGAGCCCGTGCCCCGTTCTTCCTTTCTGCACCTCCCTGCGCCCCGGAGCCCCGTGGCTCCAGGCCGTGGAAGTGCACTTTCGACCCGAGGGCTGGGGGAGAAAGCCCGTCTTCCGAGGTCAGCTTCCCTTCCGTTCGCCCGTCACATATCTGAGCGCCTGCTCTGGGGCCAGATGCCGGTCTAGCACCCCACTGTCTAGGACCCGCAGACACGCTGCGGCTGAAGTGTGCAAGGAACGGGCACTTGAGGAAGTAGCGAGCTTGGATGTCTTGCCACGGGTTCGCTCTTTTGAACGCACTCAGTGTTCTCCAAACTGCAAGGTGAGAGGGCACGTCCCCAGGACGGCCCTCACCTCCGACACGTCGGACGCCAGCCGCAAGTTCCAAGGGTCCCCGAACCACTCAGTTTGGAGGACTCACCAGGAGGAGTCGCACGAGTCAGTGAACGCGGTCACACTTGCGGTTCCGTTTATTAGAAAGAAACACAGAGACTCAAGTCAGTCGAGGGACGGCGGGGGCAGAGTCCAGGAGAAGTGCCAAACGCGGGGCCTCCGTGTCGCCTCCTGGCATCCACATGTGACAACGTGCACAGAGCTCTGCCAGCCGGGGGGCCCTGGGGCCTTGGTGTCCACCTGGGAGCACTGCTTGGCCAACCGCGGCCCATGAGCTTGACCTCAGCCTCCAGGTGGATGGACACCACGCTCAAACCCCAGCCCAAATCACGTGGTTGCCCTCTGGGGACGGAGGGGGTGCCTCCCCCCTCCCCACCCCTGCTGAGAGGACAGGGTGTGGCTGGCACCCGCCCCAAGCAGTGATGCTCCTGTCTGAAATGGCACCGGCCCTCTCCTTGCGCAAGGCCTGGTTCTTCACCACACAAACATCCGCCTGTTTAACGTCCACAACAAGCCTATTCGGGCCGAGACTTCAGATTTTTGGATTCATGCGTCGTCTTGGGCGCAGTGCCTTCACGAGACTAAAACCCCACAGGTGCGTCCGTCGGAGGCCAGGCTGGGTCACGCGCACAGGCCTTCCAGCAAGGTGGCCGAGGGGCGTGTTGCCTGCCTTAACCCCCTTTGAAGGACGGGAAGAAAACACCCGACCTGGATGGCAGGAATCAGGCACGCACCAGCCGGCACAGGCCGCCCTGGGGGTGGAGCCGGCACCGCCCGTCGGGAAAGGACAGACCTGAGAAGGCGGGGGACACACGACACGCGGCGTATGTACAGGGGCGAAAAGTCAGAACCGAGGCACGTCACCAGAACAGGAGGAACGAGTCGGTTAGGGAACAACCCCGTGGAATTACTTCAAGCCCTTAGACCGCCGCTTATGAATATTTCAACGATTTGGGAAAAGGCACGCTTTCTAACACCGAGTGAGGGAGACAGATTCTGTGCAGCCGTCACCACCCAGGATGCGCCACGGGCGGGGCCAGAAGACACGGCCTCGAGGCAGGACCGTGGGGATGCCGCTGTCATCTCACGTGGGCGCGCAGTCGGCATCTGCTGCACGGGGCGTACCCCGCTAGAGCGATGGGGAGCAAACCAAGCCCCGGTTCCTTCGTCTCCCCACCCCCCGCCCAAGCCCCTGGTGGCCGTGCTGGAGGACGGGCGGCTGCTGGGCGACAGGAAGGCACTCTTGGAAGAGTCTGACCAAGGTCTGTTTGCAAACCTGGACCCAGCACGTCAGGGACACGAGCCAGGCCGTCTTGAATCAGGCGAGGCAGCACAGAGGTCCGATCCCCTGGGTAAAGGGACACCGCACCCCAGGAGCACAGAGCTGCTGAGATTTCGGCCATGGTGGGTGCATGGCTAGGCCGCTGGGATGACAGAGGCCAACCCTTGTCAGGCTATGGCCAGTGTGTGTTTGGGGGCTTAAAAAATCCTCATCTTGCGACAATCACCAGCAGATAAATGCAAAAGCAGCCTCCCGCTACCGTCTGGAAACTCCATGGGTCCTGCTCACTAAGCTCATCGTGAAGCCAGAGACAAAGCCGCCTGCCGACCAACGGAGACAGACCCACGCATCATTCAAATTGACCCACCCGCCCATCGGTCCCAGACGCCTCTGCACACGGCAGGCTGGGATGGGTACTGGGGAGGGCAGAGTGGAACGAACCAACTTCCCCCACTTGTCGGGTCACTTCAGGGGGCCTGGTGGCTCAGTCGGTTGGGCATCCAGCTTCAGCTCAGGTCATGGTCTCATGGTTCCCGAGTTCGAGCCCCGCATCGGGCTTGCTGCTGTCAGCCCAGAGCTCAGTTTGGATCCTCTGTCTCCCACCCTCTCTCTCTCTCAAAAACTAACAAACGTTAAAAAGAATTAAATCGCTTCAGAAACCTTTTGTCTCTGTTTTCCTTTCCGTATCAGAGCCTAAAGAACGTCAGAGCCCAGCGTATGCGGGAGGCCGCCTGGACCCCAGACGGCTCACTCGGGGCCACGGAAGGGACGGAGCAGCACAGAAGGTCAAACCCAAGACCACACTTCATTACAGAGCTCCTCCAAACCCCCAAAGGGTTTCATTGACAATCAAGGTAGTTCTTTCAAAATTTTTTAAAAAATTTTCTTTTTTTTCAACGTTCATTTATTTTTGGGACAGAGAGAGACAGAGCATGAACGGGGGAGGGGCAGAGAGAGAGGGAGACACAGAATCAGAAACAGGCTCCAGGCTCTGAGCTGTCAGCATACAGCCCGACGCGGGGCTCGAACTCACGAACTGCGAGATCATGACCTGAGCCGAAGTCGGACGCTTAACTGACTGAGCCACCCAGGCGCCCCTAGTTCTTTCAAAATTTAAATCCACAGTGTTAATCAAGGCTAGCTTTCGTGAGAAAAGCATAAAAAGTTGCAGTTTAGGAACAGATCATCGAGTTGGGAGAAGAGAAAGCCCAGATCCGAGTCCCAGCTGGGCTGCATCGGGGTAACTTCTGGCCTCTGTGTCTCCGCTTGGAGTCACTGAGGCTGACCTTACGCGCAAACCGGAGTCTAGAGTCAGACGGGCAGCACTTGAGAGGAAGACGCGGCAGACGGCCACAGTGATGGCCCTGAAGAGTGCGGGCCACCGCCCCAAACCCTTCGTTACCGCCACTGCTGTCGCCAGATACCCTGATCTCCCCCAATATCTGGGATCACCTGCAGCTTTCCGATCCTTGACCTCAATACCCAGGCCATCACTGGCGACCTCCAGCCCCAGCCCTGGTAATACAGTAGCTGCTCGTCAGGATCCACACCCCCATTCTTATGAGGGACGAGAGGGTCTTCCCTCCTGGACCACACTCTCCCTCACTGACGCCTGTCTGCTACCCTCTGCCATCTCTGCAATCGGTACAACGGTCCCCGCACGGGGAGCACGTCACTTAGCCTCTGACACGGCCCCGTCCTAGGCATCATCTTCTGGCCCACCCAGACCCCGGACCTGGTAGAGACGGTGTGGGCCGTGTTCCCATGCGGCCCCAGCTGCCCCGATGACGAGGAAAGCGTCCAAGTCCATGCAGTCCTGCTGAGGAGGTGGGCTCCCGGCGTGCACCGTGACACCTCCCCGCCCCTGTCCTTCCCTGTCCCCTGGCCTCCGCTCCCAGTGGCCTGCGCGGAACACCGGAAGGCTCCTTCTGTTGTCCAGAGGAGAACAAAATAACATAGAAGTTCACGCCCCACGAGACCCACCAATCGGGCAGGGCACTCTGTCCTGGTCTGTGTCTGTCCGTCTGCCTCCTTCCCTAACCTTTGTTCACCTGTCTTCACGGCTCACCTCCAGGACTACCGCCATCTCTCCCCGTGTTGTGTCCCCACGTCGGGGCCCACGCAGATGCTTTCACCAAAGGTCAAAACCTCAGAGGCACAGCTCACCTGCTCTCCAACCGCTCGTGTCTCTGAGCTTCTGCAAGACACTGCTTTTGTCTGCCTTTTGCCGCTGAACCGCTTTGCTGGACCTCAGCTCTTCCGCTGCAGTTCACGCCACGCAGGGCGATGGCCCGTGGCGTGTCTTTGTCGATGACTCTGTGGCTACTCTGCTCCAACAGACCTCACGGGGAACGCGGGAGGGCACCGCCCCCCTGGTGGCGCGGGTGGGGCTGGTGGGGCTGGCGGCTCCCGGCCTCCTGGCTGCCCCCGCCTCCCGAGACAGATGGCCTCCGTGAGGCCGCGGGCAAGCGAGGGCAAGAGCACGGCCCTGTGCAGTCAGGTGGAACGCTCCCACGTGGCTTCAGAACCACCCATGATCGCCACCTTGACACACTGAACTTTGAACTAGCTCCCAGTCCCTTCTGCCCCCACCCTGCTCGGCAGGTCCGTTACCTCGCAGTCTGAAAAAACATGGAGCTCTTTCTGTTCACCTGCTCAGCCTGCCCCG